CCACTGAGTTAATATTGGAGTAAAAACTTAAAATAAGACTCATTTCTTATAAAAATTGGCTTCAAAATTGCAACCCCAAAGCCACAGCTCCCCCTAAATATTCCTTTCTGCTCCCCCTACTTCTCCAGAAGGGAAGTGTTGGCAAAGAGCTGCTTATCCTTTTGCCAAAGAACACCCTTAAAGGAGCAACCCACAAAGCCAAAAAGCAGTGACTATTAGGGGGAAAAAAAGAGTGGTCTGGAACAAGGCCTTGAATAGGCCTTCAATAATTATCCATAGTGCCCTCTTTGAAAGGTTTTTGAAATGTCACTGAATTATCTGTTTCACTAGGTTCAAAGTTGAACCGGGAAATAGATAGTAAAGTGTGCAACGAAGTCTATTATACAATAAAATTCACCCATTCATTCATTCATATATGTCTTGGGTGCCTACTATGTTTTGGGAATGTTAAACACTGTAGGTTCAAAGAAGGCCAATGCTAATGTTTGGACCAATGAGTGGTCACTGCAAATACCTTATTGCTTAAACAGCTTTTAAGAATCTTGGAGGCTAGTGTGAAAGACAGGCAACCCAGTATGGTAAGCGTCATGATAAAGGTGGAAAGGTAGCACTGTGGGATTGCATAGGAGATGCACATAGCCCTGAATGGAGTAAAGGAGGTATCTAGGAAAAGGTTTTGCAGCGGTAATGCTTACACAGTCTTGAAAGTTGGATAGGCAATAAAATGGTGAATGGAAGAGAGGAGGGTATACTCTAGAGCAGGGGTCGGCAAACTTTTGAGACAGAAGAGCCACCAGGGGTCAGCAAACTGCGGCTTGCCAGCCACAGGCTCTGAAGTAAAATTGAAAATGAAAATAAAACTATCATAGTTTCACTTATAAAATTTTTAAAGGATATTATTCACATAATGGTGATTATGTAAAATATATATTTATGGTTCTCAAAATTTTTTTAAATTGTTGTGAGGGACAGGATTGGCTCTTCCAGGGGTCGGCAAACTTTTGAGACAGAACGTACCCAAAGAGCCACATGTGGCTCACAAGCCGCAGTTTGCAGACCACTGCTCTAGAGGTCTCTACATACACAAAGACAAAGAGAAGGACACAAAAAGAAAGCATCACTACAAGGAGTTTACCCTAACCAAACATTTTTGCAGAGTTTTAACTTATGGCTTCCAAATTGAATCTGATTTAATACACCTTACTGTTACACAGCTGGATTTGAACCCAGGAGCCAACACACACCATGCATATACGGCACATAATGTAGATGAAGTAATTCATGACTGTAAATTTTCAGACATTTTAATGTTTTTTTAGAACATTAAAGTCCTTCTTTCAGAAAAGTGGCTAGTATAGTCAATGTAATAGCAATTGCATCGTCTTCTTTTGGGGGCCCACAGGGATTCCCCTGCTGGGAGATTTGCCATGATCTGCAACACTCTAGAACTCAAAGGAAAGGGCAGTTAAGTGGTCTTTCTTCCCACTCAAACATTTCTTCTCATTCAAAATGGTTTCTTTCCTCTTCCCTCACTGTTTTGTCAATTGGTGAATTTCTTTCAAGATTTCAGACAAATAGGCAATAGCTCTATCCTACAAAAAATAGTTGGAGACACTGGTTTATTGATAGAGAAAAAGAAAAGGAAATACTAGTCAATTATTACTGTGTATATTAAAATAAAGATAGTATTCATTAACTATGTACTCAGCAGTCTTTGATATAATTCTAAGGGAAGGACAAAGAACATCAGACCAAATAAAAGGATAAAACAATAATAGTATGTCCATTTGAATTGCAGTCTGATTTGTGGTTCAGGAATCAGAAGATCTGGAGTCTAGTCCGAATCTATTGCCAACCAAATGTGCAATCTGGAGAAATTCAGATCTTCTACGTGGACTCAGTTACTCAATTTATAATCTTAGGTTGTTGAGTTATGGTCTCTAAGGTTCTATTTGTTTTATTTTTTAACATACCAAACATCCATGAAAATCAGGAAATTTAGTTTTAAGACTAAAGGAAAACGATTGTTCATGTGAACTTTGCAAGCTAGGATTTGCAAGCTAGAATTATTCAAATGAACTTAGTCTTTCCTTTTTGGTCTTACTGTATCTGGTTTTAGCTGGAAACCAAAGAGAGAAAAATAATTTGGATTTGGATATGGTTGTCCCATAAAAAGAAAGACCACCAAATATTTGGACAAGATGGCTTATTACACTTTCATGAATTACAATAGAAAGGTATATTCCATCTCTTAAGAAACTCTGGCCAAACTTCCTCATAGTTAAGGAGCCACTTAAGGGGGAACTAGAAAAGCCTGCTGTTGTTGTTTTTAATTAAAATTTATTGAGGTGACAACAGTTAGTAAAATTACATAGGTTTCAACTGTACAATTCTGTAATACATCATCTATATGTCACATTGTGTGTTCACCACCCAGAGTCAGTTCTGCTTCTAGCACCATATTTTTTACCCTGTTGACCCTCACCTACTCCCCTCCCCGCTTGCCCTCTGGTAACCACTAAACTGTTGCCTGTGTCTATGAGTTTTTGTTTCTTTATTTGTTTGTCTTGTTCCTTTGTTGCTTTCAGTTTTATATCCCACATATCAGTGAAATCATACGGTTCTTGACTTTTTATATCTGATTTATTTTGCTTAGCACAGGGGTTGGCAAACTGCAGCTCGCAAGCCCCATGCATCTCTTCGGATATGTCCTATCTCAAAAGTTTGCCGACCCCTGGAAGAGCAAATCCTGTCCCTCACAACAATTTAAAAATTAACTGAGAGCCATAAATATATTTTTACGTAATCACCATTATGTGAATAATATCCTTTAAAAATTTTATAAATGAAACTATGATAGTTTTATTTTCATGTTCAATTTTACTTCAGAGCCACAGTTCATGAGCCACAGTTTGCTGACCCCTGGAGGCTCTTCCATCTCAAAAGTTTGCCGACCCCTGGCTTAGCATAATAGTCTCAAGATCCATCCATTTTGTCGCAAATGGCACTATTTCATCTTTTCTTATGGCAAAGCAGTATTCCATTGTATATGTATACCATATCTTCTTTATCCAATCAGCTATCAAAGGACACTTTGGTTGTTTCCATGTCTTGGTCACCATAAATAAAGCTGCAATGAACATCGGAGCATATATATCTTTGTGGATAAAATCCATGTGCAAAAGAATGAAACTAGATTGCTATCTGTCACCATGTACCAAAATTAACTCAAAATGGATCATAGACCTAAACATAGGACCGGAAACAATAAACTGCATACAAGAAAACATAGGTACTAAACTTATGGATCTTGGCTTCAGAGAGGATTTTATGAACATCACCTCAAAGGCAAGGGAAGTCAAAGCTAAAATAAATGAATGGGACTATGTCAAATCTAAAAAGCTTCTGCACAGCAAAAGAAACCATCCAAAAAATAAAGAGGTAACCAACCAAATGGAAGAAGATATTTGCAAATAACACCTCTGATAACTTTGGATATTATATAAAACTAATATCCAAAATATATAAGGAACTCATACAACTCAACAACAAAAAACCAAACAATTCAATTACAAAACAGACAGAGGACCTGAATAGACATTTCTCCAAAGAATACATACAGATGGCCAATAGTCATATGAAAAGATGCTCAACATCACTAATCATCAGAGAAATGCAAATAAAAGTAACAATGAGATATCACCTCACACCTGTTGGAATGGCTATCATCAACAAGACCAATAATAACAAGTGTTGGAGAGGCTGTGGAGAAAAAGGAACCCTTATACACTGTTGGTGGGAATGCAGATTGGTGCAGCAGCTATGGAAGGCAGTGTGGAGGTTCCTCAAACAACTAAGAATAGAATTACCATATGACCCAGCAATCCCTCCTCTGGGTATCTACCCCCCAAATTAGAAAAGCCTGGTTGATAATGAACTGTTACAAATATCCAAAGTTAGAACTTTCTGAAATACTTTATTGCACTATTCATGGCACTCTCTTAAAGAAATGCCTTAGCTGGAAGAAGTAGCTTAGAATAAATATTTCTTCAAGAGATACTGGAACAGATGGTTATTATCAGTTAATATATCATCATTGACAATTGAATGCTGTCTGTTACTTGACTTCATAAAGTGGGTAGGGAGAGTGGTGCTACTGGGGAGAGCTGTGGACATTTAGTTCAGGTTCGCATTCTGGCAGCCAACTCAGGAACAAACTGCAATTTGTGCATAGAGCCTTCTGTTAAATCTGTCACTGAAAATTAAAAAAAAAGAAGAAGAAGAAAAAGAAGAAGAAGAAGCTGAGCATAGAGAAATCAAAGCATGGAGTAATATCTTAGGATTTCTCTGGGATACTACTATCAACTAGTCCTATTTCTGTTATGGAATTGGGTCATTCCAATAACATCATGTTGATATGCTAGAACATAAGTGAAGATTTAAAAGGATACAAAAGGTCAGTTTAGTACAAGTGTGCCATTAAGATATTATTGCTGTCCATAAGAGACTGACTTCAGGAAATTTGGGAATCCATTTTTTTAAAATTTTATTAAATTTATTGGGGTGACATTGTTTAGTAAAATTATATGTTTCATCTGTACACTTCTATTATACATCATGTATATACTGCATTGTGTGTTCACCACCCAGCATCAGTGCTTTCTCTATCATCATGGATTTGACCCTTTTACCCTTTTCTACCCTTCCTCCCCCCTTACCCTCTGGTAACCACTAACCTGTCATCTGTGTCTATGAGTTTTTGTTTGTTTGTTTGGCTTGTATATTTGTTACTTTCAGTTTTACATACCACAAATGAGTGAAATTTTGAGATTATGCTAAGCGAAATAAGTTAGACAAAAAAAGTGGAATCTTTTTTATAAGTACTTTACAAGTATAGAAACTATATGATCCAGAGTATAAGGAAGAGGGGGCATGTATCTCCCACTCCTGGGTAAAAAGGAAGTGTGTTGCAAGGAGACAATATCCACAAGGAGCAGATGAGTATTACTCACGTCAATATAACATTGTTCTTCTGCATAACTTTTAAATCCTGGCCTCCATATAATGATAAGATAATTTAGGGGCTTGCCAAGCAGGAACAAGACCTAAAACACTTTCTGAATAAAGGTAACAGCATCTAATGTCTTTTTAAAAAAGGACACACATATAAAGAACATAGGGATCTTATGTATAAAGTGATTTTCTTTTTGATCAGAAGAAATTGGAAAAGAAAAATCAATAAAAGAAAACACAAACATTTCCTTATATATGAAACTATGTTGACATTACAGAGGTCCTCAATGTAAACACTCCTACTCATGACAAATGTAATACATATTGCTATCTAGGTGATGTCTACTCTTCAGAGAATGTTTGGGGAAATGAAGCAAATATTCTTATATTACATCAGAATTGGTTCCACACGACTTCATAGAAATGTTTGCTTTAAAATGATCATTTTTAATTCATTGAAGAGTGATTTTTATATTTAATTCTTAAGTGGCTGACAGTGAATGTAGTTTACTAGTTAATCAACAAGAATTTATTCAGCATCTATGGTATGAGTCACTGGTACAGAGAGGCTTCTGGATGAGAACTTATTTCATGGAATCTAGTCAAAAAAGTCATGCCTGGAAAAAATAAGACAATATTCCAGTCTCCAAACTTTGGTGGAAGTGTAGGAGGGAAATATGTACCTGATACAACCATTTAAAAAAAACAATTTGGTTCTAAACAGTGACTCAGGGAAACTAGTTTTAGAGAAAAGCAAACAGCCCCATCTCCTAGTGTTAGACTGAGCTGGGATTCATAGATGTTGAATTAACACATAAGCAGCCCAGAGAGAAGATGTCTGGGCAAGAAGTGAATGGTAGAGATTAAACAAGTACTCTGAGCCAGACTGTGAGGGTAAAATGAGTCCACATGTGAAAAGCTTGCTTAGAACAGTGGTTGGCATATAATAAATAATGAATAAATGTTCAATGTCATTATATAGCAAGCCATCCATTATTAGAGCAAAGTAAATGCAACTAATTCTCTCTGTCTTCTATGGATTGCTTTTCCATTTTGGGTCAAACCCATGTACAGTAAAACCTTGGATTGCGAGTAACATGGCTTGCGAGTGTTCTGCAAGATGAGCAAACATTTCTAATACAATTTAATGTGGTAAATGAGCGATGCCTTGCAATACGAGTAGTTTGTTCCCGGAACAAATTATGCTCGCAAACCACGGCATTACTGTATTTGATTTTATTAGTATTTCGCCTTGGAAACAGCATATAATCTGCTCTGGGACCTGTGTTCCACAGGGAATAGCGTTGTTACAGGTTATATTATTCTGACCAATTTAATTGAAATTATGGTCAGAGCTATAACACCATATATATTTCATAAGAAAGAGCCTCTTGTTCCATTGTGCCCCTACTGGAAAGAAGAAGACAGGAAATTCTAAGCAGAACTGCATGAGAAAATGTTGAGATGCAAGAGTGATTCTTAGAGTATGAATGACAGTTATGAGACCAATTAGAAGTGTAAAAGAGAGATTCCATTGAGGTATAATGGATGATAATACTGGAAATAAACTGCAAAGTGCTATTTCAAAGTCAGTTTGAGGTAATGGAATTTCATCCTGATGTTAACAGGAAACAACTGAAGAATTTAAGTAATATAATCAAGTGATGTTTCAGGAAAATTGACTTTCAGTTTATTTGCCAGTAGAGTTTATCATAAATGAAAGCGAAGGAGTTGCTTCTGCCATTTATATTTATCTCTCTGTATAAAGTGTTTCCCAAAGAAACTAGGTTAGAAATTACAATAATGATCAAGTGAATATCTATTTTTACACAGAAAGATTCAGACCATATGTTGAGTGATTTTATACTAAGCGATGATCTAAGGTATATTAAATATACAGGAGAAATGAAGGGTGATTTCCAAATTATATCTAGGCCTCCATGTAGAGTACACTCATTTCCCTTCGAATGGGTCTCTCATGACTTACATTACACTATTTTTCAAAAGGAAGGATCTATGATGTGTGGGAAGATCTATGAATATAATCAAAATATAATAAAATATGTTCCATGCATAGTATTTAAAATGCAATGAATTTACATTGTCAGTTTTTATTTGTTTTCTAGAAAGAAAAAAATTAAGGACCTCCTTAATTTTTTTTAAAGAAAAAAATTAAGGACCTCCTATTACTCAAGCCAGGACCAGGGCAATGATTTTCATGTTACCCAGGAAAAAGAGTCAAATACAAATGACTAAAAAGCCTCCAAAGACTCAAGAAACTATTCCAGTTTTAAAAGATATACCCTAAGCAGGGAATGTTTCAACACTTGAGCTTAAAAATTTTTAAGAATGCTAATAATATTTTAAATAATAAAGGTAAAATAAAACAATCTAAATGACAAAAACAGTAGTCTGGCACATTATTGACTAAAATATATAGAGAGAGCTAAATTGTGTCCCAATTATGTATTCAATTATGTAACTAAAACAACAGCAAAATTTAATGAACACCTGCCCGGTGTCAAGCAATTCTGGACACTTTTCATGGATCAGGCTAGAACAGGGGTTGGCAAACTGCGGCTCCGCGAGTCACACGCGGCTCTTTGGATACGTTCCATCTCAAAAGTTTGCCGACCCCTGGAAGAGACAATCCTGTCCCTCACAACAATTTAAAAATTATTCGAGATCCATAAATATATTTTGACATAATCACCATTATGTGAATAATATCCTGTAAACATTTTATAAATGAAACTATGATAGTTTTATTTTCATGTTCAATTTTACTTCAGAGCCACAGTTCGTGAGCTGCAGTTTGCTGACCACTGGCGGCTCTTCCATCTCAAAAGTTTGCCAACCCCTGGTCTAGAGGATCCCAAATATTTTCACTAAAATATATAGTAGCTACAAAATAATTGAATTTGCGGACATAGAATTTTGAGGTATATATAGCTTACATATAGCTTCCCCAGCCCCAACCCAAAATTAATTATCTCATACTTCATCTTTAAATTTTTAAAAAAAAAAAATAATATTAACATACTTCTCCCTCAAACCTCCACATAATCATCTAGGAAAATGAGCCATGTTTTTCCTTTGGTTTGAGTATCTTCCTGGACCACCTTTTTTTACCCATAGGTAGAGATATTCTGGCTTGGTAACTAAGCTTCACATCAATTCTATGAAGTAAATACTATTACCCATTTTATGCATGAGAACATGATGAGTCAAAGGTCCTACAGCTACTAAATGGTATAGAGAGAACATTAAGCCCCATTTTTCAAAAACCAAAGCCTTTGCTATTCTTTCTACAATGTCATAATGCATTCAATGCAAACTGCAGGAAATAACAAAGCTAGAGCCTCCACTTGATGAAATTTTTTTTTTTCTATTAGTAACTCTCAGAAGAAGCAATAGCTTTAGGGATATGTACTTGATGAAAATTTTTTTTTCTTAATTTGATCTTTAAAGATACTGAAATATCCTGAATGGCCACTAGCTGACAGTTACTTCAGTTGTGGGAGAATACAAGGAAATGAATACTATCACAATAGTGTTATTTTGTAGATAATGTACCATCAAAGTATCAGAATAAAATTTGAGCGTATTTGTAAATAAACTGTACACATTCTAAAAGAAAGGCATAAAGCTATGACAATTGTTTATAAATAGCCAAATAAACAGTATATCAGAATCAGGGGTAAGGTAAAAATTACAAAATGGAGTACTAATCCTTTATCAGTATTGAGGAAACAGGAAATTACACAGCAAATAGAAGAAAGTCAGGTAGTAAAATTCTTCATTTGGTTTAGAATGTGAAAAATCATAGATAGGGGCCGGCCGAGTGGCTCAGTTGGTTAAGAGCGCAAGCTCTGAGCAACAGGGTTGCTGGTTCAATTCCCACCTGGGCCAGTGAGCTGCGCCTGAGCTGAGCTGCCAACAGGTGGCAGGATGGCTTAGCTGGTGAGAGCACGTGCTCCTAACAAAGTTGCTGGTTTGACTCCCACATGGGATGGTGGGCTACGCCCACCGAAAACTAAGATTGAATGCAGCACCTTGAGCTGAGCAGCTGTGAGCTGCTGAAGGGCAGCTGGATGGCAACCGGACTTGGAGCTGAGCTAGCTGTGCCCTCCACAACTAAGATTGAAGGACAGCAACTAGCCTGTTCCCTTTCCCCAATTCCCGAATAAAATCTTAAAAAAAAAAATCATAGATAAATGGTGCTAGGTTAACTAGATATCTGTATGGATAAAATTAAACCTCAACATCTATCTTACATAATACACAAAAATATAATTTGTAATGGAATAAAGACCTATCTGTAAAAGCTAAAATTATAAAATTCATAGAAGAAAATACTACAAAAAAAGTAAAAAAAATGAAATTTTTGACCTGGAGATAGGCAAAAATATTTTAGAATGCAAAAGGCACTAACCATAAAAGAAAATTTGACAAATTGGACTTCATAAAAATTTCAATTTCTTCTTCTCAATAGTCACTGTTAAGAAAACACAAATGTTTGTAACAGTCTAGGAAATAATATATCTAAAAATATGAATATTTAGAATCCTGAATACTTAGAAATTCTCACAAATAAATAATAAAACAATATACAACACAATTTTTTTAAATGGGTAAAAATGAACTAAGTAACTTTGGAAAATGTGGTTTTGACTAGAAACTAAATAGTTAAAGATAAAATGACCTGTACAGATGAACACTGTACTCTATTTGGTAAGTTCCTTACTCAAAGGTATTCAAGTAAAACATTTTGAAACCACTTTACATGTATAACAGTATTAGAGAAGTAAGTAAATGAATGGTAGATGATGGGAGGCAGGGGGAAATTATAGATAAGCAAGAAAGGAAGTCTAGAATGAACCCTATGGAACTGGAGTAGAGTCAAAGACATCAATATGAACTCACAGTTATATATAGACTCAACACACAAGTGAATAAATACAATTATAGATAATGTCTGTATACATGGATTAATATGCACACATAGATTACCTAGTTCTGTCCCTTGAAAGGGCCTAGAAACACAAATTTAACTAACTGCTAATGGTTAACATCACAAGAAATGCCATGTTGATATTGCATATCCCCTTACATGATGTGATGAGAAGAACACCTGAGCTCACTGGTATTCTTTCCAACAACCCTTAACTGCAATCTAATCATGAAAGAAAAAAATATATACATCAGAAAATCTAGATTGGGGACCTTCCACAGAATACCTGGTAAGTATTCCTCAGTATCATAAAGGTCATAAGAAAAAAGGAGAGACTGAAAGACTGTCACAGAGTAGACCTGGAGTCACACAACAAGTAAAGGCAATAGGAAACCTTGAATTTAATCTTGAAAGAGAAAGTGTACATTCCCAGAAAAAAATGGTGCATTCCAAATAAAACCTGGAGTTTAGCTAATAGCAGCATATGGATGTTGGTTTTTTAATGTTGAAAAAGATAGCATGGTAATGTAAGATGTTATCAATGGGGAAAACCAAATAAGAACTATACAGGAACTCTCTGTACTATCTTTTCAAGTTTTCTGTAAATCTAAAATTACTTCAAAATAAAAATGTTTATTTAAAAAATGGGCAAAGACTTGGACTGACATTTTGCAAGAGAGGATATATGAATGAACATAAATATATGCGAGCTGCTCAAAATTGTTAGTCATAGGGGAAATGCAAATCAAAATCACAATGAGCTGCCACTATACACTCACAGGAACAGCTAAAATTAAAAAAGACTAACAATGCCAAATGTTGGAGAGGATGCAGAGCTTCTTGCTCTCTCATACATTGCTGGCGACAGTATAAAACAAAATAACCAACACAGAACATGGTTTGGCAAAGTTCTTATTAAAGTTACTAGCAGTTTCTTATTAGGGTGAAACATATATATATCTAGCGAAATTTTACTTTCCAGAAATTCTACTTTAGGTATTTTTACCCAAAATAAAAACAACCCCACAAAAATACTTGTATAAGATTCTTCACTGCAGCTTTATTCACAGTAGCAAAAATTGGAAACCTAAACATCTATTAGTAGGAAAATGGATAAACAAATTGTGGTGTATTCATATAATGGGATGCTACTTAGAAATAAAGGAACAAGCGCCTGATACACATTAAATATAGATGAATCTTTAAAATATTATGTTGAGTGAAAGGAACCAGACAAAATTCCATATTGCACATTGATTACACTTATATGAATTAAAAGACAGGCAAAAATAATTAAAAAAAATCAAAATACTGGTTGTGTCTAGGAGGGCATAGACCGAAAAGGGCACAAGGGTACTTTCTAAGGTGATGGCAATACTCTATATCTTGATTTGGGTGCACATTTCTTAACATTTAGCAAACTGTGTACTTTAAGATCTGCACATTTTGATGTATAATAATTTCAAGTCAATTTTTAAAATTAGGTAAGGAAGAGAAAGGCTCTTCCTTGACTTTTTTTTTTTNACAATAATAATAATATCCAAAAATCTCTTCTGTACATTAAAGTGTACAAAACACTTTTCATAGACACCATCTAATCTCATCTCACTGTGGCTTTAGGAGATGAATTTTAATATTCTAGTCCTACAGCCTGAAAACCCAAGTCTCACCATGCCAGATCAGGGGGCATGTACAAAGTCACACACGTGCTTTCTACCTACCTCGCTCTGATTAACTCATACAAATCCACTCTGGAGCTTAATAATGGATTCAGAGGCATATGTTTAAAACTAATTAAATGACTATTGAAAATCCTTCCTAATCTCTATTAATGGGATTGATACTAGGAGCAGATCACCAATTTAGTGAAATTGCAAATGAACAGAAAAGGTGATAAAATCCTTAGCTAATGTATGGCATAATGAAGATGCTAATGAGTTTCATGTTTGGGTATATTTCGTGAAACTCATTGTGGCTGTGTAATGGGAACCCTCAGCGTCTCTCTGCTGTTACACCTTCCTCCATTGTGGAGGGAGTGCAGCTGGATCAGATTCCTGGGCAATTGAAAATGTTGTAGTATCTCGTTCAGCTCCCAAATTATACTAAGATAAGCATGCTTAGAACTTTTAAGGGATAATTCAATGCTAAGATAGAATGTCAACAAAAAATGTCAGGTTTCATTGTAAAAATAGGACATATGACCCAACAGTGAGGAGGGGTTCAGTGGTAGTCAAACCAAGAAGCACCATGGAATTGGATGCCATGTTGTTGTCCTGAATAAAACATTGTCTGAAATAGACTATAGCATGAAATAATGTGCTTTTCTTGGTGAAAAAATCTAAACAGATTCTCTAGGAATTTCATCACTCAAGACATGTCCCTGTTACGGATGAGTGGGCCAAACCTGCCTACCACGGAGCCTCCTGCTCTTGCCCTAGGCTTTGGAGGGACCCAGGACTTTGTCCTAAAGACATTAATTGGGGGAAAAAGATAAAAAACTTTTCATCTTACATGGAAAATAGATACCGTATTTGCCGGCGTATAAGACGACTGGGCGTATAAGACGACCCCCTAACATTTCCACTCAAAATACAGAGTTTGTTATATACTCGCCGTATAAGNAAGGAAATCTGAATAACATATAGACTTTAGTTACCAATAATG